CTATGGTCCACTCATATACCTCAGCTTGTTGCTAAGGGTGTGATCCTCCATGCTGCATTTTCATGACTAGCATATAAAGAGCATGACAGCCTCCATCTTGAATTATCTGCCGTCATTTTAGGCTTGAGTTCCTGTGTTCTCTGGGAGGGATGGTCCATGTCGTATACCTTATGCAAGTCATCCCAAAGGGAGGTATGGAAATTCTCTTTCTCAAGGAGGTGGACAGGATGTGCATAAATACCTGTTGCTTTCAGAATTTCCCCATGGGCTGTGGTTTCACCTTTGCCTGGATAGGTGCATATATGTCCTTGTGTATTTAGCTTTAACTACACTAACTCTTGCAGAATAGATAATTGGATACAAAAGTATTCCCTAGAGAAAAGCCAGGTGTGAGTTACTCATTAGGCAAGCACCCATGAAGGACAACAAATGGCTGTACTGCTGCTTGAGTGTCTAGCATGGTCTTCATCAGCCATATTACACGATAAGCAATTCTCTGTAATTGGATGTCATAAGACTTTGGTCCAAAAACAACTTTATCAAGAAGATCAAGCAAAATATGGATTTCCAGTCACAAAATGCATACTGTGCCATGGGACACGAACTGAAGATTGATGGAATGCAACTTTCATGATTAGCCAGTGACATAAAATACTTTTTATTTCAGACCAGTGCATGCTTATGCTCATTACACACTTTACTTAGCAGGTTTAACATGTGCTACCTTATTAAACTTATTACTTACCATACAGGATACTTCCCTAGTTATGTTTCTGAACATTCTGTCAGTAAAGTCACTGCAAGCTATATTGTATAAGTTGGATTCTAACTTGGTTATTTGTAATCTGGTTACTGCCTCTAGGTTGAGTTTTAGTATGTATTATTTCAAACCATCCCTACTGCTCTTCGAATCCAACCATGTCAGAGAAGATTCAAAAGGCTTATGCCTGCTCTCCTTTAACGCTAAAGACACAAAGAAAATAAGATAGAATTTTATGGGCACACAAAAGCCATGTTTTACAGGGCAATTCTGTTGGACTGTTCACTGCTCATAGACATTATTCTCGGGAAGCCACTTTCAACTACTAGACACATGTGAGGCCTGCAGTTAAATTAGCATTGTAGAGGACAAAAGAATGTTAAGTGGTCTTTAGAATTAAAAGCAAGGTTTTGTCAGCCTGAAAGAGGATCAGTTGAAATGATATCCTATCCGCAAATGTTGTTTGAAGAGGAGATATTAAAATGAAAGGGGTGAGAAAAACAGGAAGGAGAGAAGCAGTCATTTCTTTTTTAATCTAAACTTCATCCCTAGCAGAGAATCTCATTACACTGAACATTTTGAATATTGGATCAGCTCCGATGATATGTCTAAGGTATGTACAATGGCCTTTAAACAATGATTGACTAATAACTTTACAGAGCTCTCATTGCCAAACTCTCTTTTCCTTCCCTTCTTTTTAAAGAAAAAAACTCTTATTCATACATTAATTCAGTTCAGAAGATCTGATCCACAAAAGTTAACTCCATGTAAAATCTTCAAAGTGAAAACCAAAAACAGGTTGACAGGTTTATAAAGCTTGCCTGGATTTGACCTCAGAATAGAAATGTCTACACTCAAGCAAGTTCAGCCCATTCTTTTTCTGGTGTGCACCTGAGCAGCGGGAGCCAGCATGAAAAATTCATGCGGATGCTTCAGCAATCCCACCTATGTCCTGAACATCTGCTGGCTTCACGTCACATTAAAACTTCAAAGTGAATCCACCCCAGAGATGGCAGCAAGCTTTCCCTGGTAGTGGTAGAATGGATAGTTCAGAAAAGTCCTCTCCTACCTGACAGGGACTATCTGTGCAGAACATGCTGTAATTTATCTTTTTAACCATATAAAAGGGGAGACATGTTAACAGACAACAGTGACATCTACTAAACATGCACAAACAGCAGGCGGTACCATTACAGGACTGCATTTCCCTTCTAATTGTCATGCTTTTTAAAATATTTATTTATTTTAATCTAAACCCTCTTATCTCTTGCTTTCTGTAAGTTTCAGGGGTAAACAAAGTATTTAGCAACTGAAAAGGTGGTGAGGCTTTGATTGCTCAGATGCAAAGTGTTTGGGAAAACACATTGTTTCCTTCCTTCGATTAGCTAAGTGATTGCCCATCAACTAAGTGGATGTTTTGAGACAAGGCTGGGGCTCTTCTCCTGGACCCTAGGCTGTCCTAAGGCATGAAAGCAAGGAAAGGTTTACTAACACAACAGGAAAGGAGAGGTGGGGCCACATGGTACTCTCTGGTTTTCAGTTAATTACAGTACAGGAATTTAATTTCCAGTACCCTACCACCTTGATTGTATTCACTACTTACAGCTCCCTTACTTCATTCTCCCAAGGCAGGGGGAAAATTTGTCTTCATTAAGTGATAATTGACTTTAATATCTTTTGATTCTTCAGAAATGCTGGCTGGCAAGTTTTAAAATTTTTTCATCAATCTTATGTGGTGATTTTACAAATACCATATCAGACAAAAAGATACAGAACATACTACATCTTAGTTCCAGGATGGCGAGGTCTCTAGAAACTCTAATTCCATAATAAATCTGCAGAGCCCAAGTGCTAATTTAGTGTTTCCCGGCCTCAAGAGCTGCTGGCAGTGAGGTGGGGGACGGTGGTTTCCACCGTGCACAGCAGTCCCTGTTGTCCAGAAAGGAGCAAAATTTAACCATACGAGTCTGGGGTTTTCTGCAGAATTATCAGGACTTCTGATCTTTCTAGGTTTCAAAATAGTGAGAAGATGCATAATTGGGTGTCATTAACTTCTAGCTAAATCCAATATGTCAACAGTCAGATTCTCTTAAGAATTAAAATAAGATTGTTCCCTCAACCTCCTTGCTCCTCACATTTCACCTGTTCTGATGATGAACAAAGAATATATAAGGGAGCAGAATGCAGGTTTCCCCTAAGATTTAAAATAAGCCTGTCCATAGCATCAACTTCCTTATATATTACTTCTACACATTTTACCTGGTGCCAAGGAAAAGATAAAAATATACAAGGGAACAAAATGCAAGGCAGTTAATTATAATATTTATGAGCTGCTTCCAATACAGTTCTTGGTTGGATTTGTAACTGAAATTATTAGAAAAAATTTACATATTCCAATTACCTAATGCCATGGTATTGTATGGGTTTGGCAGTTTGCAAATTCACTGTATTAGTTTTATTTTCTACTTTTTAAAAAAAATAAATTAGGCATATGGAAAATTATAAGGCGCAGTCTATTTTATAGCTTTGTGATGTTAGCATCACATTAACCAGAATACTTGTGGAATTCTACCACCCTTTTCTAGCAGATAGAGGTCAATTTCCTTGTTTCTGACTCAGTATTTTTCTGATTTGACCTCTTACTATCATCCTATTATGTTCATTACAACTGAGTGCTGGATTAGATTTGCCAAACAGAATAAATAGCTCTAATTGTAAAATTTGAAATCATTAAAGTCATCACAATATATTTGACAGTCCAATTTCCATCTTTTATTATCAAATATTGAAATAAACATCTCAATGAATCACACTGATTTCTACTATGGTTCTTGGTTCAGAGTCCTTTAAATAGAAGTATATCATATGCTGGATTTTGTGAACTCCACATCTAATCGAATAATATAATTCTCCAAATCAAGCTCTTCACCAAGTCTACAGTCTAGTGATCAGAAGTCAAATTCTCGGAACTACTGTGATGATGGTAACTCAGAAGCACTTAACCAGAACAGTGCTGGGCACGTAAGGCATGCTCAATTAATGCCACAGCTTCCTACCTCCAAATCTGTTACATTTGCCCAGTAAAACCTACTGGCCCTAAAGTAATCATGTCCCTCTAGGACCACTAGAAGTAGGCACCATAACCCAATCCCAGGTACAAATCAAAACTCCTGAAATGGAGTGGAGTAGCTGATTTCTCTCCTCAGGTGAGTCCCTGCAGCCACCACCATAGCACCTGTGATACATTACTATAGCCCCTGATATCTTCCCTCTCTAGTTTTGTCCCTTCCCCCTCTCCTGCTATACACCTCAGAACTATGGTCATGTATAAAAAATGGAATACTACTCATCAATCAAAAAGATAAACTCATGACATTTGCAGCAATATGGATGAAAGTGGAAGGGAGTCAGAATACAGAGAACAAAGGTATGGAAAAGGTATTTTTAAAAGCATAGATCTACTATTATATAGCCACATTGACTTAATTCACTTACATGTAACATTTCTTAATATCTTGAAATTTATAACCACTTCCCAACTGTACTTTCTCAAAAGCATAATCACTGCATTTCACACTGTGAAGCTTCATGCTGCAAACACTTGGTGACATGCTTTCTGAGATGGTGGCTTTAATCTCAAAGGTTAGAGTTCTTCTGGTCACTTTCCCGTTCTCTGCAACCTTTTTTCAAAAACTAAATGTTTAAACTAAGTTTTCTTAAACTAAATTTTCCATAAGTAAACTGATGATAGAACTGTGATAGTTGTAGTCCCACCTTTCAGTTGTAGTTAAATCATGTGGAAGAAATAATCAGCTGATTAAGCTTAAAAATATTGCTAATTTCAACACATTAGTATAGATACTAATGGATTTTATTACTAAATGAAAAGAATATAACCTTGTGTTCATTTTACTCTCATAAGGTTTATGGATACAGTTTCTTAATAATTAAACTATTTTCTGCTGCTATAAAAAGTACATAGTAGCAGTATAAAATCAAAAATGGATTAATTTTATTCCCAAAACAAATAAGATTTTGTGTTTAGAATTGTCAGTTGTACTCACAATTTTCTGCATGTCAGTTCACAGAAAACAACTATTGACATTGGATCAAACATTAAACCATAAACTCTACACTGGCAAAATAAGATTTATTGCAAAATGTCCCATGAGATAGCTGTTGTTAATTAGCTCAAGATTGAATTGCTTTCAAAATTATCATTTGGAATTGCAAAACTTACCTGCTACGCTCAAGGAAATGTACGGGCTGGTCTTGTTCTCCCCGTTGCGCTCGTTGACAGCCTGCACGTAGTAGGCTCCAGTGTCTCCTGCAGTGGCCGCCAGTATCACCAGCTGATTCTGCAGCGTGATGGCTCTGCGTCAGAGAAGGGGCAGCGTCAAAGCCACTCTAGGAAACTTCTTATTGTAAGAAAGATGAATGTACGAGGCCAGCTATAAGAATTATCAAAAGTTCAAAAAAAAAAAAAAACCTTCTGGAATAGTGTAATTGCCAGGAGGGCCTGAGAGCTGCACAATGCGGTTGTGAGGGAGATGGTATTTTGGGGTACATCCATTCAGGGTTGTTGAAACTCAGAGGCTCAGTCAGAGCTATCTGATCATGCAGTGGCCACGAACCTTTCAAACAGAGGGTGAGACCACCAAAACCTGGACCAGGGCAAATGAATTTATTGTGATTTTTCTGGGGATCCTGATGAGAACTTGATGTCATCTATTTGTAGACAAGGGGCATCAACTCAAGTCTCCCATCATTCCAGGCTCCATTTTGCCACCTGTGTCCTAAAAGTACAAACAATCTGTCTACTTGACCATCATCGATTCCTTCCCCTACATCCGCTTCTCATACAAAAAGGAATCCCTGAGACACATTTGACCTGCCTAACCTCTCTTTAGAAATAAGAAAATTGAGAATCCTAGAGATTAAGTTATTTGTCTAGGGCAATGCAGTAGGTTAATATCTAGGTCTCCCCACAAGCCATTCAAACCATTCCATACACAGATCTCATGAGATTAGTTATCTGAGAGAAAAAGAAGAAAAATAATAAAGCCACACTTCCACAAATCTAAGCAACTTTAAAATGAGTGCCTTAGTAACCATTGCTCAAATTAACTAATTCTGTATTCCTTTTGCTAATTAAGGGCATAGGGGAGGTGGGATTTGTTCTGAAAAAACAACAAAACAAAGGTGAATAAACTATTCCTCAGCTGGTGAATCAGGCATTAAGACAGAAGGTACTCTGAATACCAAGATATTAGTCTGTACTTTTTATTTTTCAAGAACACTAGAAATATCCTGGGATTCTACTTGTGTACTTCTTACAATTGTGTTATCTACAGGGAACAGTTCTATTTGTTTGTTTTTAAACCCTAGATAATCATAGCCTTTCTAGATTAGTAAGATCTCTATTCTGGAAAATAGTAAGACCTCTATTCTGGAAATGCAAAAGAATGCAACATATGTAACTTCTTTTGAGAAATTTTAGCGTAATAATAACCTTTTTATTCCCGATATCTCTTGGAAAGCCTTTACAAAAAAGTCTTGATTTGTATATATTATATAAGATTATATTAGGAGTTATTGCTTATTCAGGGTTCCCACAGGAAATATTGCAGTTTGATGTCTCCATGACTAACTTACCACATTTCTCATTTAAGAAAATTTCTCTATTAGGAAATTTTCAATTTTTAGTCCCATAAAATATTTCAAAAAAGTTTTACTATAATTATTTATGACTCCTTTATAGACTCCTTTATAGAACCATAGAAATTGTTCCATTTTATTTTAGTATATATTACACTGGCACCTAAAATTAAATATGAATATTTACTACACGTAAAGTTATATATTTAATAGTAGTTAAGGTACTTAAACACTGAATATATCATAACTCCTTTCTTCAACAGCTGATTTTTGCCATAGTAATTTTAAGTGTGCCTATTATTTCCCAGAATTATTGTGCAAAAATACCCATTAATTCTCTGTATTATTTATGACATTGTTTCAAGGGTATTGAAATAAAAAATGCACCAATAATAAAGCTTACATCTATTATGTTTATCTTTAAGTTTATTTTTTCATTTAGATTAATTTCTATACCAGTTTAAGTCAAAACTCATGAAGAAAACTTAATCTAGAGTCAAAACAGCATCACCACAATGCCAAGACTTTGGGGAATATTAGAATCAATTCCCAGAAAACTTTACTCTTTTCCCCTATCCAACTCTTTCTGAACAGAGTTTCAACAAAAGAAATTAATCTCTTTAATACCATTTAAAATATCTAAAAACATTCATCTTAATTTCAAATTCTGACGACTGTTGTGATAGTTAAGAACAATGTTTGCAGATAGCCAGTGGGCACGTACATCCACCCGGGGTTTCCCCTGGTGAGGTGCCCACACTCTCCCCAGGCTGTTGCTATGTGAGGACCAGGCCCACCACCAGGCTTACATCTTGATCATCAAAAGTCAGAAAGGTAACTGGTGATAGGCCTGGGGCCTGAGTTCTGACCAATCAGAGCAAAAGGGAAGACTATACTTGTGGGGGAAGGGAGATCCCCTTGTGGGGTCCTCTTGTGGGATCCTAGTCAGGAAGAAGGTTTTCCAAGAAGGTCATGTATAAACAAGCAGGAGGAAGACAGAATTTTGAGAATCCAAACAAATTATACCAGAGCCTGGAGGCAATGAGGAAAAAAAGTTAAGTGATCTTTTAACATGGCCCTCATATGTGTTCATAAAATACTCAGTGAAAATCTTAGGTTTCTGAGGTTGGGGCTGACTTTCAAACACTGTTCTGTATCTCCACCATTATATAGCAGCAGTGCGTTTTGGGGAACTGACCCCAACTCATCTATCTAGTAATCTAATTCCCTTTGCCAGTGACAAAGGAACTAGGATTGGTGTTAACCTGGTAACCATTACTGTTCTGGGGGTGGACAAGTTATGTTCGATGACTCAAGAGCAAGGCTTCCATTCCACTAATAGGGATCAGGACATTTCTCTCTCCTCTAGATGTAAATAAGGAAGCATGCTATCTCAGATGCTCATGGTGGTAATTTTATTGTCATGAATAGAATAATCTTAGCATGAAGCTGATAATACTGAAGGTAGGACCCAGAACAGAAAGTACCTGGATCCATGATCTTGAATACCTGATGTATTCAATGAACCATTGTGAAGCTTATTTTACGTCTGGAGTTCCTATTTCATAAGATAACACACTCCATCCACTTGCAAACTTGCTTAAATAATGGGTTCTGTTACTAGCAGTCAAATGCATCCTGATACACAGTCAAAGCAGAATATGCAATAGAATCCTAGCATGTATTTGAGAGAAAAAATTTTAAATACGTGTCCTCTGTGTTTTAGGAGGTAAATCCTTCTATATACATGTATGTATTTGTATACATATATTGTTAACTGTCATTAGCTGTGAGTGGAAAGACTGCACATTATTTTCTTTTGATTTCTGTATTTTAAGTTATTAAAATATCACTTTTGTTATCAGCAGAACTATTTTCAAATTGAATGCCATGGCATGTTAAGCAATTATGGTAGCAAAGTTTAATACTTTGCCTATAATAAGAACTATTTGGTTTTATTATAATATAATTCCAAGATATAATTTAAAACATATATTGCCTTTATAGGAAAATTATAGTATTAAGCCAAAGAGATTTTACTTAATTCCAAGTTTTTAAAAATAAATGCATGTATGGCTTTATATAAAGCATTTTCTATCTTAATTCCACATTTCAAAATGAAATCTCACAAATATAACATGAAATCCCAATGGAAAATTATGAAGGAAATAAGGGAAAAACTTAGCATAATATGGGTGAAAATCTATAGCTCAGGAAATCAGGAAACCAAGTTCATAAAGACCAAGTTAAAGGATTCCTTGCTATCCTACCCACTACTAGCACAGTAAGAGTTTTTATGAGAAAAAAAAAATCAATCAGTTAGCTATAATAATGGTACTTTACTAATGAAGAAGACTGCAATTCAGTAAAAGAGAACTAATTACAATGGGTGTTTCTTTTCTTACTTTTTTTCTGCTAGTTCATTGCTTGCATATAGAAAGGCAACAGATTATTGTATAGTGACATTGTAGCTGTATGTCTACAACATACTGTATTATTTCTAGCAGTTTTGTGTGTGTCTTTAGGGTTACATCTACTATTATGTCACCTGCATATGGTGACAGTTTTACTTCTTGCTTTCCAATCTAAATATCTTTTATTTCTTTTTCTTGCCTAATAGCTCTAGTAAGACTTTCAATTTCATGTTAAATAATAGTGGCATTTTTTCTTCTTTTGACTAGAGGAAAAGCCCCAGCTTTTCTCCACTGAGTATGATGTTGGCTGTGGGTCTGTCGTATCTGGCCTTTAGTATCTTTAATTATATTTCTCCTATATCCATTTTATTGAGTTTTTTTTTTTTAATAATTAAGGGATGCTAAATTTTGTCAAATGCTTTTTCTGTATCTATTGATTTTTCTATTGCTTTTCTATTGATTTTTATATTTTGTTATTTTGATGAATCATTTGATAGATGTGTATATGTTGAGACATCCTTGTGTCAATGGGATAAATAATATTTGGTCATAGCACATGCTCTTTTAAATGTACAATTGAATTGACTTTGCTAATATTTTGCTGAAGAATTAATTTATGTCCATCAAGGTAATTGGCTTATACTTTTCTTGTTTTTTTTTTCTTGTCTGATTTTGGTATCAGCATTATGCTGACCTCATAAAAGTAGTTAGGAAACATCTCCTTCTTTTTGAGAAAGTTTGAGAAGAATGGGTATTATATTTTCTTGAATGTTTGGTAGAAGCCACAAGTGAAGCCATCTAGTCCCTATTTTTACTTTTTTTTGAGAGGGAATTTTTTGATAACTATTTCAATTTCTTCACTTGTGATAGCCTATCCAGATTTTTGTTTCTTCATGACTCAGTCTCAGGAACTTGTATGATTCAAGAAATTGTTGTTTTACTCTAGGCTTTCCAATTTAATGGCACACATATACCTCACAGTTATCTCTTATGATCTCTTGTATTTCTGTAGTCTCTGTCATAACATCTTTTTTCACTTCTGATTTACTTGAGTCTTCTCTCTCTCTTTTCTGTAATGAATTTTGGCCAATGGTATGTCAGTTTTGTTGATTTTTTAAAAAATCATCTCTTTGTTTCATTGATCTTTCATTTTTGGTTTTCTATTTAATCTGCTGTGATTATTATTGTTTCCTTTAATCTATTGATTTCAGGTTTTGTCTTTTCTCACCCTCTCCCTGCCAGTTCCTTTAGATGTAAGGTTAGATTGTTTTATTTTTTTTCATATTTCTTGAGATTAGCCTG